GGAGTACCATCTAATCTGTGGCCATGGAGGCCAACTTGGAGATTTTCTGGGTGGAGGTGTGGACAGCCACAGTGTTCCTTCCAAGCCTATGGACCGGTTAAAGGAGTGTGGGCCCCCACTTACCAAATCCTTCCGGGTCCATAGGGAGGATGCATGTGGGATGGGGTAATTCACCAAGACATTTGGGAAATCAAGCCACCTGGTATGCCTAACCGATTTATAATTAGTGCTCCTGAAATAACACCCAATATTTGGATTGGGATAGGAAACCAGTGGACACTCTGGCCATTAGAACCCCCACAGCTGCAATGCATACGTAAATTCAAGCCAGGGGAAATTGTCACTGTCCATGACAATGTTTGTTGGGAGGGTATGGGACTAGGAACCCACCTGACAGGAAATATGATCTTCCCAGCTAATAACAGTTGTGTATTTGTTAAGGCCCATATCATATACAACACCCATTTTAACCTCACTACGACTGCAGGCAGCGATATTATCTACTGGCCTGCAGATAAAAATTTGCAATCCACTCTCAGGTATCAAATGCCCTTTAACTGGACGACCCTGGTGCCCGACGGTTTCCAAAATCTGGAATCTGGATTTCTGACCTACAAGGGCAAATTCATATCCTTGGAAAATGTATATCAGGGAGAAAAAGGTGCCTTTCAGACAGCCTATAGACTGTCTTCTTTGTGTACTAGTCGGGATTTGCTGTGTGCAGTAACCAAAATTATACGCTAACCCCATCATATTGTTACATTGAGTGGGCTAACACTTGTGGTGATGTTGCTTGGTTTGGGACAGTGCCTTTGCTATTGCTGCTGTAAGGTATATTGCTGTGCTTGTAATTTTTTTTGCTAGGCCCAGCGCAAGGGAGCAAGTGGCATTGATGATTGTTAATGACATTTTTGACAAAAGTTGGGATGACAAAAGGGAAAAGGAAAGGAAGGAAATCAATGGGCTCATGAATGTGGAAGCTTAGACCAAAGATGGCGCCAAAGAGGCGCCAAAGGAGGGAAATTGTGGAGGAAAATGGCCTAAGGCCTAAACTTTGGTCAAGTGAACTGTACGTATGGTCTGGTGAACTGTATGTGTGGCCTGGAGGAAGGAGGAAATGGGGGGGGGAGATAGAAAAAGAAGGGTAAAGAGAAATCATAAAAGCAGAACTAATTGTAGAAACTATAAAAGCAGAACTAACTGTAGAAATTATAAAAGTAAAATGAATCTTTTGTAACAGCTTATGATTAATAGCTGCTAGGTGACAAAGCAAGAAACCGCAAAGGGCAAAAGTAAGGAAAAACAGAAAAGGCTTGCTTTGCTTTATTCCTTATATGAATGTAAAACTTTGAGGAAGTATATGTAATTTTTGTGGTTTTATCCTATATAAGCTCTTGCATTTTATCTGTCGGGGGGGGGTTCAGCTGCCTTGGCTGACTTCCTCATGCATGCATGTTTGATTGATCAATAAAGGAGCCTCAGGCTCTCTGATCCAAATCAACCATGTGGTCAATTTTCCACAACAGCAGTAAGGGAGAGGGGGCTCAGGGAGTACGGGTGGAGAAATGGGGAAGGGCTCTGCAAACCCCTGAGCCCAGCTCTGCAAACATTCATGGACTTTCTGACAGGGCCGCCCAGAGGATTCAGGGGGCCTGGGGTAAAGCAATTTCAGGGGCCCCTTACATAAAAAAAATTGCAATACTATACAATACTATATTCTCGTGGGGGCCCCTGTGGGGCCTGGGGCGAATTGCCCCACTTGCGCCTCCCCCCCCCATGGGGGG